GCTACTCAAATATTTTACGTTTTTGATACTAAATTAACATCTGAAGTATAATTTTTTATTGTTTTTATATTTTTCAATAAATTTATTTTGTTTGTACAAAATAAAAAAATAATTTTTAACGATACAATAGTCTTTGTTAGGCTTAACATCGACGAAAATTCAACATGGAGCGAAACGCAATGGAGAGAAATTTCAACATGGGATAAATTAATATATTTTTTCGTACATGATTCGTTATCCAAACCACCCCAGTCCCCAATTGATTCGGATAAACGACGCTCTACTGTAAAATACAGAAGATACAAAAATATCTACATTTCCACCCTTTCCAACACCAGGAACTAACAGTCTTTCTTAACAGAGTCATAGCCTTTTCTGCAGAGGAATCTTACCATAAAGAATTCTGACTTGATTTTATTGACTCTTTCCAGGAATATAACTCCTATTTCTTCTAGAAAAACAGATCCAAATTATTATCTCTACATTTGCAACACTTCCAGTAGAAAAAGATGTCAAACATTTCCCAGATGGTGTGCTTGATAACATGGCACAGAATATATATACATTTAACCCCCGTATAACACAGGAGTTATGTTCCAAAAAATTGCCATGTTATGCAAATCCATGTTACACAAAACAAAGAACTAGTATGAAAAGAGGGGTTAGGTTCCAAAAATTAAAAAACATGCTATTATATTTTCATAATTAAGATAAATATCTTTATTAAAATTTTCTTAAGCGACATATATTAATATAAATTAAACAATGTTTTCTTCGTCAATGCTAACCACTATTAACCAAGGGTGTTTTCTTTTTGGCAAGATATTGTTATCCTCTGAGCATTTTTCTGCATTATCTTCAGATCCATGCTCTACCTTTTGCAAAAAATATGCTGATTGCTTGCTTTTAGTTAAAAGATCTTTATAAATTTCCTTATATGGTGCTAATCACTTATGAAGAATAAAATATAAAGTATTATGAAGCACTCATGACGTATGGAATAAGGAAAAACATCTGTGTGACCATAGGGTCGGCACCTCTTTGGCGCCCTGTCAGGATGACACCACCGAGTCTCTAGGGGACTCGGAAATCGTGACGTTAAGTCTAAAGATTCGTGAGCGGTAGCGTGTGAGCGCTTGGATTCGGAGTAGAGATGAGGAGAGAGACGAGGAAGTGACTTACTCGGACTCCATATTTTCTAACAAATAACAATTTTAATTAAATTGAACTAAATACTATACAGAGATATCGGGCATATTATCGTTCTTAATTATACTAGGTCGTTGAGAGAGAGAGGTTACAAACGAATCGCGGGTTGATAAATACCTTGTTGATGGACAGTTCTTTACACTAGATCCGAATCTTGTCCGTTCACTGGTGTAGAGGCACGGAGGAGTGTAGAGGCTTAATCCAGCACGAATTTTTCTCTCGGGTTTAATCCTGGCTCACGGTTTTAATCCTGAGTCACGATTTTAATCCGGGGTCACGATTTTAATCCTGGAGGACGACTTTGTTGGGCGGACTTTGGATGACGACTGTTGTAGAGGGACTTCGGATGACGACTGACCTCAGGGTCTTTTTTTTTTCCAATGTCCATCGACAAGGTATTTATCAACCCGCAATTCGTTTGTAACCTCTCTCTCTCAATGACCTAGTATAATTAAGAACGATAATATGCCCGATATCTCTGTATAGTATTTAGTTCAATTTAATTAAAATTGTTATTTGTTAGAAAATATGGAGTCCGAGTAAGTCACTTCCTCGTCTCTCTCCTCACCTCTACTCCGAATCCAAGCGCTCACACGCTACCGCTCGCGAATCTTTAGACTTAACGTCACGATTTCCGAGTCCCCTAGAGACTCGGTGGTGTCATCCTGACAGGGCGCCAAAGAGGTGCCGACCCTATGGTCACACAGATGTTTTTCCTTATTCCATACGTCATGAGTGCTTCATAATACTTTATATTTTATTCTTCATAAGTGATTAGCACCATATAAGGAAATTTATAAAGATCTTTTAACTAAAAGCAAGCAATCAGCATATTTTTTGCAAAAGGTAGAGCATGGATCTGAAGATAATGCAGAAAAATGCTCAGAGGATAACAATATCTTGCCAAAAAGAAAACACCCTTGGTTAATAGTGGTNTTCATTCCTCTTGGGTTTTTTCCATGAGGTCAGGTGATGGCCTTTAACGGTCGCACGTCCAATATGTCTTCTCCATCAAAAGTTCCTGGTGACACATCCCTGACTAACTTGATCCGACTCAACAAGGAACAAACTCCGTGGGTAATAATTTTTATGGCTTTTAGCCTAACTCGATAAAACGCTCGAATTTAACCGATTAAATTTTCCAATAATTAAAATTTAAAATAACACTTTATTGTGGGTCTGTTTGTCCCTCACATCTGGCAACACAAAATCAGAAGCATCAAGATCTAGCAACACTGAAACAAGTTTCGAGAAAGATTATGTGTATCAACAGAAGGTGAAAAAGAAAATTTACATACTTGAGTACTAATAGTTCACGAAAATTATTATTTTCGTGAACTATTAGTACTTAAGTATGTAAAAATTTATTACATTTCATGTTGTACAAGGGTTTTACCCAATTCTCGAATTGTGTTAGAGTAAATCCGTGTTATAGAAGTGCCGTGTTATATGGGGGTTACCTGTATTTTAAACTTCCCTGTGTAAGACCGCAGATTTTACAGGAGAATTTTTAATGAAAGGAAACCTTCCTGTTTTTTTCATTGTTCAAAATTGTTGTATACAACCCTTTAGAAAAACTCCTCACGGAGTATCAGAGCAGAGGTCTCCTCCAACTATCAACAGTTAGGTGGGAAAGTTGACACTTAGTTGTCAAGAGTTGCAAGTCATTGTCAACAACGGACCGCTTTCCCACCCTAATGCTATAAAAGCACGAGCTACTGCAGATCAAGACACATCCACACACGGAAGTTATTTCTGTACTTGTGTCGATCTCCATGCAAAGGACTTGGATCCTGTCGGAGAAGACATTCAACAGCTGCAAACTCTTCCATACTGTCGGTGTCTGCCATACTTTGGTGTATACCGTCCATTCTCGCATTGATGTATTGTATGTTAGCACTCTGCAAACTCTCTCTCTCTCCCCAGAAACGGAATTTGATGTAGCTAATAGCTGCCCTTTGTATAACTTGCATTTAACCGCATTTAATCAAGTAGTCTTGTAATGATCTTGTATGTTAACCTTAGCCAACCAATAAATGTTTTCTTTGCTAATATGTCAACCTGTCGATCTCTTTTTCCAGAAAGATTCCTGTCCACATACCAACGCAGTCCCCACTCACTTTTTGCCCTCCTAGGCCATCTAACAGGCGCAGAGATCAAGCTTTACCAACCTGTGCAGATTAAGTGGTCAGAAGGGATTAACCTCCAGCCCCCTGCTTGTCTCACACCTGCATAGACTTATATGCCAATATTTTTATCTTTCAGAACGGAAGCAGCCATCTCTTTTTTTTTTCATATTTTCTGTGAAGAAATAGCAACCAATATAAAAAGCAATGATTCCATTTCAGTAAAAACTGGATTCTTTTACAATTTTATGTTTTGCATTTGAAAACATTTTCATGAGAAGGAGTTTCACCTGACTGGCAAAGGGGTCCATAAAATGAAACAGGTTAAAAAACCATGTCCTACTTTGCTGACTGTATTCTACTAAGTGCTTGTTTCAGTAGAATACAAATATACAGTGGAACCCCGGTTAACGAACGTAATCCGTTCCACGAGTCCGTTCGTTAACCGAATTGTTCGTAAACCGAAGCAATTTTTTCCATAGAAATTAATGCAAATACAATTAATCCGTTCTAGCCGTCAGTATTTTTGTAATTTTACTTGTAAAATGGTTTTCTTTAATGAAAATATAGGAAAACGTGCTCATAAACAGTCAATCTAGATTAAATTTTTGGAAAAGGGGAAAGGTTTGACGGGTATAAAAACATCACATACGATCGTTAAAGTTCTAAAATGACAGATAGCAGAAACAATAGGCTAAATTACGAGCGAAAGGCTTATAGGTTTATCAGCAATCTCTGATCAGAGTTGACGAACAGGTATCAAATAAACGCCTCGGAACAAACCTTTCTCGTGACCTGATCTGGTTTCGGTTTTCACCTGGAGACAAAGAAGAAAACAATCGGGAAGGGAGGAATGGGACAGGACTAATCGTAAGGTGAGATTCAAGGAAGAAATACTATAAAAACCCCGAATCTCAAAGTCAAAACGCAGTTTTCCTAAAAATTCTATGGCGATTAATCTGTGTCGTCTTCATCTGGATTAAGCCTGAAGTCGTGCCTGCTAAAATTTGTGTTGTGTCTCGCGGACCGCTCCAGTTGTTGCAGCTCTGTCACCTACTATCGCTTCTGTGACCAAGCGAACCCATCTCGTCCGCTCTGGGGCTACGACTGATCAGCTTGCACTATCGTAGGACCAGCGATACGCCACTCTTCAGTGCCGAGAGAAAATACTGTAGATAAGCCATTTCCAACTACCTCAAATATGTAAGCATCTTCCCGTTCTAATAAACGATTTTCACTGTAAAATACTTGTCATCTTTGTCTCTTCCACCACCACCAACGTACGAATGGACCCTTGACCATCACCGACACACGATTAACTGATTTTCCCTAAAAGTAGGCAAGCTTACAAATTTGACACAAAAAGCCGTTAAGTTCGTTATCCGAATTTTGTTCGTTATCCGAGACAAAATTTTTCCAAAATAAAAGTTCGTTAACCGATTTGGTCGTTAACCAGGACGTTCGTTAACCGGGGTTCCACTGTATATACATATATATACTGAAACTTATATATATAACTTGATTTTACTCTATGAAGCCCACCAAGTCTTCCTTTGTTAAGGAGGTCTGTTAGAAAGTGAAATTTAACCTACTACTACTTTGAAACACCTGTACTAATGTTTTTATTATATCATATATATAAAAATTATAATTTAAACTGTATACCTCACATCTTCTAAAAACTTTTCTAGTTCCAATTTTTGTGCATCACTTCTTCGTATAACCATACTCTGATGACCATCTCTGTGAACGACCTCAGCCAAAATATCACCGACGTTATATTTTGAACGGAATGCTTCGTCAGTAAGTTGATCTGGTTGATAAGCTAACAGCCAAAAATACATATATCTTAACATAAAAAGAATAGTCATCTATATGTTACCGCTAAAGCTCGAAAGCCGTTAATGTGTACATTACCCAGCTAATCTCCAGATTAACTAGGGTGATCTGTTAAAGTTTCGAAAATTGTTCCATTTCTCAAATTACCTAGGTAATGTGCAGATAATCTAGGTAATCTACACATTACCTACTAGGCACTCAGTAAACTGAAAATAAGATCTTTGCTGAAACAGCAACGTTTTTGTACGCTTAAATGAACATAATATTATTTAATTAATTTTCGATATCTAAAGAATCAAGTTAATGCAATCAAACACTCAACAAATTAGTTGATAAAATCAATCATCAATCAATTAAAAAACTGTAATACAAAAAATCAAACAGTTTAAAATATTATTATAATTAGGGAAATGAATTCGCAAAACATATGATAAAATTGTGCTTACTTATTAGTGCAATCTAAAAATTAGTGACACTTTGAATTACGTAGCAATTGGTTTTTGCGACAAGCACACCTATTTGTGGTACACATAGATTTGCATTCACATTTCTGAAACCCTGCCCAGTACCAAAAGATTGTTTTATTGCTGTTTGACATATACATATTTCTACAGCAGGGACATCTTTTGTAGAAAACCTCTCTTTGCAAACACTGAATTCAAATTTTACATACAATTGTTCTAAAATACCTGTTTTAGTACCAAGTTTATAAAAGCCATCGTCTGTTTTACTAAGAACCACAGCTAAAATTGAGCGTGCATCAGTTTTTGCTCTGTCTTGTTCGAAAAGTAGTAGGGAAAGAAAATGAGAGAAACAAACTTTTGAACTTTAATGATACGGAAGTTGTTAATTTGCAGATTCCCTAGGTAAAATGCAGAAAACTCTTGATTCCGCACGTTAACGAATCACCCTAGCAAATCTTAACGACTTTTGAGTTTTAGTGGTAACATATACACTAACACAGAAGAAGAAAAATTTAAGAATCCATGTTGTAATAATCAAATACCTTCATATGATTTCATTTCTAACGATGTAATGCTAATAAATGTCTTCAATATTTTAAAATATCCTTAATATTAATATACATAATAGCACAAATGAAAAATATACTCACAGGCACTGTTTACAACAACATGAGCAGCCAATAGACGAAGTGAATGTACTTCAAATATCACAGGATGAAATAATAATTCTCTAGAAGTTGGTCGTTCATTTGGAATTTTGCTAAGACATTTTTTGATAAAATCCTTAAAATAAACAAAAAGAAAGGGACTTATTAAAAATGTTAAAACATTTAACTGAAATTAATGTTTTTGTAAGTTATCCAATACAAAACCATTATTCTATTGCAAACCAAACATTAAAAATAAAATAATAAATTAGTGAAAAATTAGAAATTTTAAGAAAATTGTAACAATGTAAAAATCATCATCATTTGAGCATAAAAACATGATCTGTGAAATAAAGTTTACAAATTATTGATTGTAGTGTCAAGAAATAAAGGCTTTGCTTCCCAAATAACAATTCCTGTTAAATTTTCACAAATATCCACCCCAAGGTGGGAATGTACTAATTATAAATTTAAAAAAGAACACTGCATTAATATATTCTTTTACCAGCTTGGTAGCAAAAATGCTTATTAAAATAGAATAGCTATTATTACTGAATTGTTTAAATTAAATATTTTACATATACTTGAAATGACTATTTTTAGAGAGGGAAATCAAGTGTTACTCTTATTTTTGTGCTGTGTGTATCTTTATTGAATAAACCATATTCAACAAATTGACTATTGATAAAAACATTATCTTTATCACATTATTCCTTCAGTTTTATTTTTACACTATTATTTTTATTAAATCTATCAGTTTAAAAAAATAGTTATTTTCAATTTTCAAAATTTTATATTTGATAAAAATATGTAAGAACCACTGTCTTTTGATATCAAATATTTCAATTGAAATAATAAAATATGTAAATTTAAAAGATGTACAAAAAGTTATCTTCAGGTAAATTTTAAATTTAAAAACAGAAAACTCAAGCCATTTAAATAAGTTAAAATAGAAAGTAAAAATTTTATTAAACAATTTATACAATTAAAAGGTAGACATTTTAAAAAGAATAAAGAGTGTTTAAAAAATATCTAAATTTATAATCCCCAAAAATTTATAAAATTTATCAAAAATATCAAAATGTGTTTAAGTTTACAATAAAGTGAAAGTCAATGCTGTAAGAAATCAAAACATGCAAAGTGCAAGCTAGAATTTTTGTAGTGCTGGAGAAGAATCATCTTAATCAAGTTTCTTTTTTTCTGGAAATTGTGGTACTGGCATAACAATTGCTACATGTTACATCCTTTGTTTCATTTTTATGTTTAAGCTAGAATATAAAATTATGACTTCATAAATGATGGTAAATAATGTAGAGCAGCGTTTTTCAGCTGCTGGTTCATGAATGGTGCCAATCTATTAAAAATTTAACCAGTCTGAAGAAAAATAATTGATTGTACTGATGCTGGCGCAGTTGATTATGGGGTGGCATTTAAATAGTAATACAGAGAAATAAATAAGCGTAATTCATAGTAGCATATGATTACTGGTCCACATAAAATTATCCATAATTTTACCAGCTGCAATGAGAAAAAGTTGAAAAACACCAATACAGAGCATACAAGTAGTCAAGAATGAGAATGTGAGCTTTATGTTTGATATTGTTGTCAATTTGTAAATATAGTGGTTCCTTGGACTTTGAATAGCTCTAACCTCAAACATTAAATTCAAGAAAAATTTTATCCAGAGTTTGAACAATGCTTTTGTTTGAACTGTCTGCACATTGAAAATTGTGCTGGCTTGCATACACATCATCTATTGTGCACCCAAGTCAAATTAATTTATTTTTAGTAACTAGTCTTTATATTTTTAGCACACATTTTTATTTTTATCCAAAAACCAGTGCTTAGTTTTAAATATTCATTACTCCTGAGGTGCAAGTTAACTCTTCTAGAGAGTTAAAGGAAATAATAATACAGTGATACCCGAACTTACGCAATAGGTGGGACCGAGCAATAACCGCGTAAGTTGAACTAGTGTAAGTCAGGGTATAATTTTGCAATTTGTGTAAAATCCAAGTTGGATGTATGTAAGCTAATAAATGTTCTCGTTAATCTTATCTCGTCTTTTGATTCATTCACGGTTACAAGAAATCACCACATAGAGTCTCTCAAGTTTCCGTAGATATAACAAACACAGAAATAAATATCACACAATAAATTGTAGCTATGCGTCGATTCCGTGCGACACGTCTGAACATGTAAGCTGAACAATAGTATGGGGGGGAGTGAGTAATCGAGAGCTGCGTGGCGCTCAAACAAAAGAAGAATCGATGAGATTTTAAAATCGTGTAACTCCGGGTTCGTGTAAGTCGGGGTAGCGTAAGTTGAGGTATTACTGTATTGTATTATTACAGCTATTTTTTCAGACAATAAAATTTCAATCTTAATAAAGGAAAAAAATAATTGATTAATTCTTATCACTGAAAAGTTTACCGTGATTTAAACCAACAAGTTAAATACTACAACATAATAAATTCTGTATCTGTTTTATGTCAAAAACTTATTTTGTTTTCAATTGATTAAAAAAACTGTATTCAGTAACAATTATTCTTTTTTAGTTTCTAAATAAGGGTTAAATGCTAGTTAAATTAAAATCACAAATTATTTTATTTTATGCTTTATGTAATAAGTAAATATAGAATAAAAAGTAATTATTATTTTCATATGTAATTCAAAGCAAAAATGTCCGCACTCATTTTTGATTCAAAAATATCAAATAAAGTGGACCCAAGTTCATTTTACAGTTAAAATAATAAATTATAACTTATAAACATAATTAAAAAATGGCATAAGTTTTAAGTAAAATAAACTTTTCACAATCAAAAATACCTTTTGTTGTGGATTTTCCAAAGATTCAATTGTTTTTCTTATGACTTCATCTGTTATTTGACTACCACTATCCCCATTACCTGATATTTCTAATGCAGCCATCTACAAGTAATAAAAGAATTCATTTGTAAAAATAACTTACTTTTAGTTTTAATGCATTTCTTTTTCTTTTTTATTTAATTTACCTCTAATGCACACATGCCAAATGAATAAATGTCAATCGCAGGAGACACCATAGTAACTGAAGTAGAGAATAATCAAATTATCTCAAAATGTATCTTGAGAATAGATTAAATTTTTAAAAAAAACTTTGAAAATTTGATTTAAATGTTTATTTAATACAGTATTTGATACGAGTTACCCAGTTTTGTAAAACAAAAAAGTTCTAATGTTATTAAAAGTGGTACTTAGTAAATATTGTGTACTGTCAAATTTATTTTTTTTAAATAAATATTCATTCATTTTGATTTTAATTTTCTTCGTTTAGTAAAAGTAACTGAAAATGAATTGCATTAACTCTAGCAATTTAAATGTATATAACTTTTTTTTTTTATTTCATTTATCAATTTGTGAATTAGGTTATAATTAGGTTATATTACTGTAATTGTAGATAAATGCTTGTAAATAAGGATAACTTCATCCACTGTATACTATGCCATACTATTACTGTAATTGTAGATAAATGCTTGTAAATAAGGATAACTTCATCCACTGTATACTATGCCATACTATTGAAAATGGACTGGAGTGGAGGGAATTATTTACAAGCATTTATCTGTAATTAATATAATTTTATTCACAAACTGATAAATGAAATAAAATACATATTTTATTTCGAACTGTAACAAATATCAAACATGGCTTCAACGACTTTAGAAATGATTCGATATGGGCCACAATATCATGCATCTGAAATTAATAGGGAAAAGTAAAATTAGAATTTCATGAAATGTTTCAATTAACTGGAAATTTAACTTTTGTTATCAAAAAATATAACTTATCTACTCAAAAAATTTAGCATGCAGTAAGTATTTTCTATAAAATGCATAGCTGTTCGTCTCTGTCAAAAGCATTTATTCAGTAACGACAAACCTAACTTATTGTATCTCTCCCTCAATCTCTCAACAGTAGTTCCAAGTCATACTCATATTATGTTATAATTCTATATTCATGCAGTGTTCTCCCCAAGCCAGTTTTAGCTGGTTGATCAACCAGCTAAATATTTCCTCTGATCAGTTAATATAAAACATTTTTATGTATTAACAATAATCAATCTATGGATTAGTATGCAATTGAGTGTTGTTATATGATTATTATTTCACTATCATTAACTGAAATTTTTAAAGAAAATTTGCAATAGCAGCAAGCTATAACATTACAGATCAACCACTAAAATTTCTTCCTGAGAAAAACACTGCAATGATTAAGCAGAACATTTTTTAAAGAAAACAAATCTCTTCTTACAAAAAATTAAATTTTTTTTTCTGTAACTTCCTCGTAATTTCTCTCTGTAAAATCATTTGATCACAGAAAATGAAAATTGGAAATTCATTAAAAATGTTAGATGATTTGAGTTATTGATAACAGAAATCAGTTTTCTGGGTACTACTTAAACAGCTCATAAACATTCAAGGTAGAAATTTATGTATTTTTCTCTTTTGAACATTTGACATTACAGAAGGTCTTACTCAGGATAGAATACAAATGCATACAAGAACAAAATAGTTTAAACACTATGTAATCTTCTTCTTAACAGAAATGTTAGGAAAATTAAACACTGTTTGGTGCCAATTCTACCAACAGAAAATATAATATATATATGTAAACTANAAAGAAATGTATTGAATGTAAAGAAATGTAAAAAAAAGTTTTTGAATATCTTGATTCTATCCTTGCCGTCAAACTTTATGTTTATAATCTAATAATCATTTCGATATACGCCTCCCATAATAAAAGAGATTCCATTTTTAAAATCTTACATAGATATCTTATTTCTCTTTCTGAATCCCAAAGTATTCAAATTAGCTTATGTGGAGATTTCAATATGTGTAACATCTCTTCGAATTCTAATGGTCCATATTATTCTTCCCTTGACCCAACTGAACAATTTTTCCTTAATGAAATATTCTATTTTTTCCAACTTAAACAGGTAATCCTTTTTCCATCTCGTATTAATAACTTTCTTGATCTTGCTTTTACCTATAATTGTGTTGTATCTACCAGTTATGCTCAGGGGTTCAAATCTGACCATAATGCAATATGTTTAGATGTCTTATTAAATACCAATAAACAGCAATCTGCCAAATACATTAATATTCCAATTTGGGCCTCATTCAATGGAATGGAGGCCTCAAAAATTCTTTGCTCCATTGACTGGACCTTCATCAACTCGCCTATTTCTCCTCAGAAACTTACTGATAAAATTTACAACTTGTTTTCTGCCACTATTAAAAAATTATTATAATTCCATAAAATAAACTTTTCTGCAAATAGATGGTTTCCTCTACACTTAAAGAAATTACCCAATATGGTCAGAAAACAATGGAGCAAATGGAAATGTTATGGTAACCCTCGTGACTTATACTTACATAGAATATTGCAACAACGTTATTACCAGGAACATCGTACTGCTTTTCTAGAATATTTTAACAGAACTGTGTCTAACTTTGCCGCTGACCCTCATATCTTCTGGCATTTCATTCCTAACTTTAAAAAAAAAAAAAACAAACCTCCTCACAAAAATCTATTCTGAATGATAAAATATACGATATATTTAATAATGTTAAATCTAGATATTTTCACATTTTACCTGAAGCTAAGTTTCATTCCCTATCCTTTCAACAATGTAAACATAATTTTTTTATTTCTTTTTCCGATGTTAAGTCTGCCATAGATAGCCTAAACAACTCAAATTATAGTCCAGACTCAATTCCGGATCAATTCTTTAAAGAGTTAAAGGCAATATCCGCTTGTTGTTCTCTCCAAACTCTTCACAAGTTTATTAAACTCTAGTCACATTCCAAATCAATGGTTAATCTCTAAAAGATAATTCCTTTACACCAATAACTATTCTATCAGCCATGTTAAAAATTTTTGAAATTTGCTTATATAACAAAATCTATAGCCAAATTACCTCCAGATTCTCCCTCATCAACACTGTGGCATCCGTAACCTTTCTACTACTACTAAACCTTCTTGAAACAACTTATACTATTTTGCAAAATTTTGAGAACAAAAAATCCACCTACATAATGTATATTGACATTTCCCAAGCCTTTGACTCTATCATTCCTAAATTACTACTTCAGACTCTAATTGATTATTTTGATTTAGATCCTGCTCTTTACTGTTGGTTAAACAATTACTATTTATCCAGACTATGTAAGATTCACATTGGTGACTTTGATTTTTTCCCTTTCTCTCCTATTACCTCCAGGATATGTACTAATCATGCTTTTTTCTCAGCTTATATAGATAAATTACTAATCAACCCTCACTCTAAAGTAATTGCCTATGCCGATGTCATCAAAATTTTATCCAATGATCCCTCCTCTCTTCAGATCACTGTCAATTCTTTATGTTCTAATCTTGCCAGTTATAATCTAAAAATCAACATCCATAAAACTGTCATTATGTGTTTTTCTATACTTCACAATCCCTACCATCCTTCCATATTTATTGATTCCTCTAAAATAAACTATGCAGTCTCATCGTGACCTTGGTATCATATTTGATGAAAAATTAATATTTCATGATCATATCTCTTACATCATTAAATCTCTTTCAATTAGACGTGGCTTTATCTGGCGTTTTTGCAAAAATCTCCCTTCAAAAACCGTACTCAGAACAATTTTCTTTACTAATTTTCAATCAATAGTCGATTATTGTTTACCAGTCTTGGGCCATGGCTGCCCCTTATCTGATTCAAAAAATACAATCTGAATTAAATAAAGTTTATTTTCTGATACACAAATTCTGCAATTTACCCTTTACTGACAACCACGATGTGGCAAGAGTTCACCTTGGTCTTCCAAATCTTTCTGATCGCTTAAAATATTTTGACCGCATTCTCTGCTTTAAATACTTCAATGGTCTAATTTTAAATTACTGGCTAGGTCTCCGCATCCCTACTGTAAGAACCCGTAATATATCATGCTTCTTCATCCCATTTTTTCGCCTTTCTCTTTCACAAAGATCCTTTTTTAACCATATGTGAGGGATGCAACAAGTGGGCCGACCAACAGCGAAAGGGGAAACTTGGAGAGACACGTGGTGGATACGACCCGATCAGAGTGTGTACCCGGGGTGAGAGATTTATTGGAGGGTGTGGGAGTTAGGGACGGAAGTGAAGGAGGAGAGGGGAAAAACAAAAAAGGAAACGCAGTTGAACCGTTCTTCGCCCGCATTTGACATCGTTGACCGTTAACTGTGTAACCAGCCATACGAATAATAAAGTGTCTCATCCGTATTCTCATCCGTAGTCTCATCCTTTCGGGTTATTGCGCATAGACACGACATAATTGGTGCCGTGACCAGGATTTGGCCAGAACCAACGCCAACAGGTACGCAATTCACTTATTACTACCATTATCCGATCCGTTGTCGTCCCGCTCCTCGTTACAGGCTTTCGCCGCCATATTGCCCGTCTTCTCCATTCGCAGAACTGATTTCATTACCCCACCGTCACCGTCAATCGAAACATGACCGAGACATTTCCGAACGGAATGAATCCAAATTCCACCAAGGAACTGAGCAAGCTCCGACGCCGCCGTAATACCATAAGAACGTCCGTGACGAAAACGATCAGCAAGATCAATGCCATTTCGGACTCGACGCCATCCGGTGAAATCGAACTGTCCCGTGACATGTTGAACGAATGGCTTAGAGCAGGGCTGTTCAACTGGCGGCCCGCCAAATAATTTTTACGGCCCCCGAGTACATTTTACTATGAATAAATTTATGTTACTAAATTATTATTATTAATATTAAAATTATTTTACTATGTGAAAATTTAAATCTAATTTGAATTTAAAGTAGGTACTATTTAGTTTGCGTAACTTCACTTAACCTGGCTGAATACAGCAGCAACCTTCTTAGCCCCCGAAATGTTTGGTAAAGAAAATATGGCCCACGGGCTATGATAAGTTGGACAGCGCTGGCATAGTTTATACAGATTAGTCCCAAAAAAATTAATTATATGTGTTTTGGAAATGTTGAGTGAAATTAGTCTAGAATCGATTA